TATATATATATATATATATATATATATATATATATATATACATACAGGGTGCCCAAAAAATGTATACACATTTTGAGAAAGGAAAACTGCATTGAATTTGTAGTACTCAATGTACACCGATAACAAAAGATGAATACAAGTCGCGTATGATTTCTGCAATTACAAGAGGTGCTCAAAGTTGTTGCCATCAGCATCCAGACACTTCTGATGATGGCGAACTACTGCTTGAGCAATGTTGACCAAAGTGTCTACTTGTATACATTTTTTTGGCACCCCTAGTGTGTATGTGCGTGTGTGTGTGTGTGTGTGTATGTTCATACAAAAATACATGCAACAGCACTGTGAGTCTAGTGTTATAACCCTCACTTAGTGAATGAGAGAACTAACGTTCAGAGACAGAAGCAAGGCTTTTATATGTTACTGATACTCTTCAACTTTATTTTCTCTATACCAATGTGGTCTTCAAACAGGAGCCTCAGTATTGCTCACACATTTAGTACAACGTTAAAAAAGCATGTTCTCAGGTTCTACCCAGATTTATTCAATCAGAAAATCTGGGTTCAGGGCCCTATAATTTAAGGTTTAACAGGCCCTGTAGATGATGTTGATCCCTGCTAAAGGCTACAATGTTAAAAACAAGCAGTCAATATTAATGAAGTACCTAATATGTTAGTCTCTGACATCTCTGAGGATATTAGAAAGACAAATTCTTGAAACACATAAAATGCTAAGAAATTGAGAGGACTAATTAACTAATTAATTATGTCAGAATTAAAGAAGTGCATGTAAGTAATATCAAAATTCAATTGAAGAAGAGTATTTAACAGGAGCATTTTAGAATAAATCAAACGGTGATATTGTGTTTTAAAATAAATTATATGTATATATATTTGGTCATTTAGGTAACTGAAATACCTTTCTCAGATTTATTTAGTCTCCATCCAGTTACTAGCTCACAGCTCCCCAATCCTTTGGAAATTTCTAGGTGATAAAAGTAACAATGGTGTCTCTTGATATGTTAATGAGATGACTTGGATCCTACTCTAAGCTGTGGGTTAGTTGCCAGTAGGAGCAAAGCACCTGGCTAGAGCACTGGAACTTTCAGTCCCACACACGGATTTCCAGGGAGGGGAGAGAGGCCTGAAGTAGAATCAGTCACCATGGCCAATGACTCAGTCAATGGTAACTAAGTAATGAAGCCTCCAAAAACAAACAAACAAACCAACACAAAAAACTAAAGAACAGTTTGTCATTCTTTCTCAGAGAGCCTCCACATTGGGAAACCAGAATAAAGCAGCAGCAGGTTTTGAGAGGACTGATTCCAATTCTGACAGAAATGCTACTGTGGGTAAATGCTATTAAACAGCATCGCATGCTACAGAGAAATCATTTGCAAAAGGAAGAGTCAATCAATGAGGCAAATTTTATGGCTGTCTTATTTTAAGTAATTGCCACAGACACCCAACCTTCAGCAACCACCACCCTGATGAGCCAGTAGCCATCAACCTCAAGGCCAAACCCTCCATCAGCAAAACGATTAGGACTGGGTGAAGGCTTAGATGATGGGTAGCATTTTTTAGCAATAAAGCACGTTTTAATTAAAGCATGTACAATGCTTTTTTGGGACATAATGCTATTCACACTGAATAGACTACAGTATAGTGTAAACATAACTTTTATATGCACAGGGAAAGCAAAAAACAAATTGTGTGGCTTGTTTTTTTGATACTAGCTTTACTGCTGTGATCTGGAACTGAACCTGCAGTATCTCTGAGGTATGCCTGATCTGTGCAGTTTTACTGAAACAGGTGCATTGCTTTTGCCCTCTGTGAGAACTACTAGCAGTCAGATTTATTGCCATTTCATCAGTTTTATTGTCAAAACTTTGTAATTCCAGAAACCAACCAATTCAATAAATAATTCATGGAGTTTCTCTGCCTATAATCTAAATACTATAGGTGAATTCTGAAATAATAATATCTAATTGATACTTAGGTCTTATTACTGTCAAGCACAAATCCATGTGTTTTTGTATATTAACTCATTAACTCCTCCAGCTTTCCCATGAGGTATACATTATTTTTAGACTTCCTTTACAGAAGAGGAAATGATTATATTCATATACCTTGTAAAATTACTCAATTTAAGAAATGGAAAATCTGTTTCAAATTATGCTTAATCAGAAAGTGACTGGTTTGAAAAAGAAAATGTAAAGCTTATCTAACTTTTCATACTACTTTAAGCGCATTAATTTTGAGTTGGGGAACTTTTCCCATTCTTTACCTTTAATCTCTTTGTCATTTTTGAACCATCTTATATCAGCTGCAGGTTTACTACCAGATGTTTTACAAGTCAGCTGCATCAAGTCTCCCTCCATAACTGGTGATGAAAATCCACTAATTTGAGGCTTTTCAGGGACACCTGAAATTTAAGCAAATGCATGAAGTGAACATCAGTCTCCAGGGTTGGTTCATTCTTGCAACTATTACTTTCACAAACAAAACTATACTGGGTGGTTAGCTGACAAATTCAATCAAGAAAAATTAACTGCTATATAATAAAATAAACTGCTTGGGCCGGCCGAGTGGCGCATTGGTTACGAGCTGGCTTGGGACGCCAGAGGGCCCCGGTTCAGATCCCACATATGAGGGCCAGTGACACTGCCCTCTACAGCTAAGATGCTGAACAACA